TAATTAAAGAAAAATTTACTCAAATATGACTGAATAAATACACTTCTCTTCTTAGTTATGAAAAGGCAGAAACTAGGAGCCACTCGTTTAGAAACATTTAAATATAAACTTTTATGAAAAAGTGAAGCCACTACCACAAACTCTACAAACTTACAAACTCATACTGTGGTTATTTGGTATAGTAACTGTATAGATAGGCATATGTATTAGTGGTTTGACAGGCAACAGCTGTTCAGTTTTTACTCCTATGTTAAAATGTAGTATTCTCGTTTGTTGGAATAAGATCTAAATAAATAACACAGAAATAAATCATTAATAAATCTCACATTGAATTAGGCCCTCCAGTAAGTGCTATATAATTTCTACCATCATTAAAATAAAACAATAAATATAAGTATATATTTTGTTCATCTGTCACTTACTCGCACCTTATGACCATAATTTCCACTTCAGTTTATCTATATTTATATTGTTTCTTTAGACTCCCATGATCTTAGTTTCAGAAAACGTCGGCAAAGTCTTTACTGTTCGAAAATCTAGTAGTATCTATTCCTTAGGTTTAAATCTTAGCTATCAAGATACTTGTGGTTCAAACCTCAAATGGAGGTGGGACACCTGCTCAATTCAATGTAACTGTGACAAGTGTATCGTACATAAAGTGTCAGTCTTACATGACATTTTTCACACTAGTGATTTGTATTCTCAACTCTATGATGCCAAAATCTGTACAGTATGATTGATAAGTATCATTTGACAAGCCTCTAGGACTGGGTTGTGTGTCATCTGTTGATTAGAGTCAACAATGTTGTTTTATCTCTGGAAGTGAATAATCTTTTGTTTTGTGTGTTTGCAGTTAAGCACAAATCTACTCAGTGAGATATCCGTGCTCTGCTCACAGTAGGTTCTGCATTATACCATATCTGTTCTTTAGTATCAGTTGAAAATTTGTCTGCATCTTGTGGTCTTTCATACTTATTGTGTTTAATCTCCTTTTTCTTTCTGTTGTAATATTTTCCTTCAGCTTGTATTTAATGTAACTACTAAAAGGGAGTGATTAGAATCAATATCTGCACCTCTATTCTCGTATCTTGTAGTGCAGAAGCCCACTTCATGAAATAGAGATGCGTTCTATCTGGTTTATAGTGTGCTCATCTGCTGATTGTGGGTTGAAACATCTTCCTCCAATCTTTAGGTTATTTTTACTACATCTATACTCATAATGCTTAAACAGATTTTATGTCCTGTCTTTGGTTGATGACATTCCATGTTGTATTTGTAAACCACTATCTCTTTTTTGATTTCTCTTTTGAACTCAATTACTTCCTTACCAACATGAAGTTTAACCACTTCCAAATGTTCACCTATATTCTCTTTTTTACCTCTTTGTTTGACTTCCTTGTCCTTATTTCTGTACTTCTGTTTAAGTCTATTTTCTTATGTTTTTAGTTTTTTTTTTTTCTACCTTTAATAAGTTTACTTGGATTTTATCCACATCTGCTACTTTTCTGTTTTTTATCTCTTTGGCAGCCTTCTTTCTCGCTTCTTTGTTTAATATCATACAGTTTTATATCAATATTTGGATTTGGTACATTATTTAAGTTACACATTGTAGTTAGGTCTGGAAAATTCAGAATTGATTCAAAATCTTTCTTCGAATGCTTAGAGATTTCTTCATGTGTTATTGCCGTTAGAGTCCCTGATTGGTCCCATTGGTGATTTATTTTTACCAGACAGATTCTTAATAATTTTGAATAGTGTTTTTCAATCACCTTTCTTCACAACTTCTTCAACTTCAACTGATTTGCTCAGTGCAAGCTTTCCTAAAATCTGTGATAACTCTAAACCAGCACAAACATTTCTATTCTTATAAACATTTCATAAGATGTACTACCTTTTCAGGTATACCATAGCTTCTGAAAATGATTCACATGGATTATATATGAACACTATCAAAACCTTTTCTAAATTCACTGTAGTTAATTATCAAAGGTCTCTGCCATATAAGAGATTTCTCATCTGCCTTGATGTAAAAATATCTTCACAGCAAGACCGTCCTAGTCTAAATCCTGCCTGTTCTGGTCTTAGCATCGGACCTGCAGCTTCTTTCAAGTTGTTAAGTAAGAATCTTGACATCATTTTGCCAGTTACTGACAGTAGACAAATAGCTCTCCAGTTTGAACACCGATTCAAATCACCCTGTTTTGGGAATGGAATAATGATTCCAGTCCTCTAATCTTTCTGGGCTTCTTCTTCAAGCTCACCAGTAGTACAGTGATATGTCTGTGGACTTACACTGCCAGAAACCGGGTTTCGAATATTCGTGGTGGGAAGAGCACAGATAGCCCATTGTGCTTTTGCTTAATTACAAACAAATAAATAATCCAGCTTCAATCGAAACGCTATTACAAAAAAAGTCAAATATTCAATAATATCTTCTCCCTATTAGATAAACTTTTGTTTGCAATTATAATTGACTGGATTATGAGACGGGCAACCTCATCCACGGTAACATCTAGTACAGTAGTGACATGAGTGAAATGGACACATGATGAGTACTTTTATGATTTGGACTTTGCAGACAGTATTGCTATATTGGATTATCGAAACAACAGCAGACATAGAAATGGAAGTGAGTAAGGTTGGTCTCACTATTAATGCAGACAAAATAAAAATTATGAAAGTTAGAATATAGTCAGATGAAACAAGAATTCTGATAGGAGATAAATCAATAGCACAGAGTTAGAAGTACGGTATCAAATGTTGGAAGATGCGATAAGGAGATTAGAATGCAAATAAGTAAACCAAATTTTGCAATTGGCAGCCTAACAAAAGTTAGAGGAATAAAGGATTCAATTTGCAGACAAAATTGAAGCTGTATCAAGCTGGTTGTATTATCAACAATACTGTACGAATTTAAAAGGTGGGCGCTGGTTTGGTAAATTAAAAAAACCTAAAAGCTGATCACCATAGGCGACTAAGGAAAATTATGAGTATATCATGTAGGGATAAGGTCACAAATAAGGATATACGAACAAAATGTGAACCAGTTTATAGAAGAGCACAACATGTGTTTATGCGGCTGCCAGCAGGTGGGAACTTAAAGAGAGGAAGATCGCAGATGAACTGGAAGATAACTAAAAAAGAACATGGAGTCTACTGGGGCAACATGGAAAGAACTACAACAAGCTGCACAAGACAGGGATGAGTGGAAGTTTTGGGTTGATCAATGTTTCATTAATTTAAAGGATGAACCTTAACCTTAT